GTGGTAGTCGTGGTAGTCGTGGTAGTCGTGGTAGTCGTGGTAGTCGTAGTGGTAGTCGTAGTCGTAGTCGTAGTAATAGTAGCAGTAGTAGTCGTAGTCGTAGTGGTAGTAGTAGTAGAAGTAGTAGTAGTAGTAGTAGTAGTAGTAGTAGTAGTAGTACTAGTAGTACTAGTAGCAGTCGTCGTCGTACCAGCTGTTTCGTGCGGTTTGACTTTCAATTTTTGCGAGCCCATTGGAAGCAGAGTCAGCCTGGGAGGCTCATGTCAAGCCGCTTAGATAGTCCCTCCTTGAAGCTGCCGGATGCCCAGTTCCGTGAAGACTGGACACGCAAGTTTCAATCTGTCCAGTTTTTGAGGACAATACATGTTTCAAGATGTTCCTGAGCGTTTGCACGTCCCAGAGCCACATGAGCTATGCTGTTTGCAAGGCACAGTACTTAGGTGGTATGGCCCCTGCAACTGTACACATTGAGTACCACCAAGTACACTTCCGGAAAGTGTGCTGTGCAGGTGTAGGTTGCTCGAACGGTGAACAAAAGGAATATCAGGGGTTTGTAGTAAAGTCCTCTAAGACCAAAAATAGTACTCTGAGAGGTGCAAAATTTGGTCTTGAGGAGAGACTTCGTTTTAACTGTTCAAAACCTTTGTGATTCGATGGTGCTTATGCTCGCTTTTGCTTCAATCATGCTATCACCGATGCAAACAAAACGTGTTTGCCTGAGTATGCAAAGCTGTACATGGGCTTTGTGCTGCCAGGCAAGAGCTGTTGCCCAACAATGGCTACATGGAGAAGGACTGCGCCAGCCTACCTCAAATCTAGACAGTTGTGAAAGTATCGAACGTAAGATGACAACTTGTCACCAAAAGGCTGCATCAGACTTTCAGCTCTCAGCGGTGGCCTCCAACCTGATAGCAATCAAAGAAAGGCAAAGCCTCTCCAAGCTCCTTTGATAAGGCTTGCCAGGGAGTTTCAATATTTGAAGTATGTCACGGCATTTTAACTGACGGCTTTGTTCGGTGGAGATTGTCCTGCAGGATGTCACCGCTCTCCTACCGGACTTCCTCGCCAATGAGTGGCGGAATAACGATTGGAGAGGCTCGAAAGACCTCTTCGGAGACCTTTTTTCTCGGGAACTGAAGGCTCTTTGCTTCGAAAGACCAATTGAATTGTTTGAAAGCACAGAAATTTCTCCAGCCAGAAAGTGTCAACTTGACACACTGACTTGAAAGCCAAAGTCTGTAGGTGTCGAGAAACGAGGTGACACGCCAGATCCTCTGGCACCGCCTGGAGCCGAAAAACACATGAAAACGCATATCACCCAAGCAAGACGGCAATTTTTGGTTTCCTTGGCATCCTTTTCTCCGAGAGCATCATTCTTCAGGCCTCATTCCTACTCCACAGGGCTCAGAACTCAGGGTGAGGTCAGAGCTGTTGAAGATTTGGTTTTCGTCGATTTCAGACTCAGCTCGCCAATTCAAGGCTACCACCTCCAATACAGCCACAGACTCAGACTTGTAACTTCTATATGATTCTTTCTCTCTCTACATACATACATACATACATACATACATACATACATACATGCATCCATACATACATACATACATACATACATACATACATACATACATACAT